TACGTATTAAGAAGGGCAGGATTGTGAGCAGCGCCGAAAGGTCTTCATTTTCAATTCACGTGGGATCCCTTCCAGTTTGGGTGTATTATCAACGCATTTGTTTCCGTTTTTGCCACGTTTTATTAGCATTGTCAGCTCAAAGGTCAGTGTGGCACCGTAGTTAAGGGCACGCAGCCATGTACGGGGAGACAGCCGTTGATGGTGCCTGAACGGACCTGCCACCCCGCCAATGCCCCAGTTACCCGCTTCGTCCTAGCTCTGTGGCTCACATGAGTGTGTGTGTTGATGGGTGTATCGGAGTCACAGCGTGCCCAGTCCTGCACTTCATCTGGTTTGTATACTAACCAATGGGCTCCTCAGCATAAATTCGCTCTTGTGGGGAGGCGTAACAGCGGCGGCCGGCGGCGTACAAACATCCAGTGGCAGCAGGGCAGCAGCGTAGAGCACGCACCCACACCCCAGACCCCCCCACCCCCGCCCACACACACAGCCTCCATAGGCCACACAGCGTCGGGCGGTGGCCAACGGGCAGGCGAAAAGATGACACATCTGAAGGAAGTACTTTTGAACGATTTGAAACATCAATTCGTGCGTTTAGAAAGAAGTCCAGGCGCCTTTTTCACATATGCGATTTTTAGATTGATAAAAAGGACAGACTAGCCTTTACAGCACCGTGAAGTGGTGCTGAAGTCGGGTGATCATGGAACTTAGAGATGAAAGGTAAAATCTCTATTTTTTGTTGTTGCCTTAACTGTTAGTTTGACCAGAGGATGTCCTCAAAGCTGCTAAAAAATACACCCAAACTTAAATTTTGAGCGGTTCAAATTTATTTTCAAAGACTTTCGGAGGGCCCTTATTTCGCGACGGCTGTTCTCGCGCACCTGGCGCCCGCCGCCTGGTGTTGCCTGTTGCGGCGAACACTTCGGTTCCACAAAGCTGCCACCCCGGCCATCGATGTTCATTGCTCCTAGGATTGCGAGCGCGCAAGGTCTAAAACGGCTTTATGTTACTTATTTCACCTGTCGATTTGCAAAAGAAGAGCGTTCTCAGCGGCAGATGAGTCGGCCTTTTTCATTTTTACCTCATTTCGATCCACTTCATTCAACACGGCTGAGACCCTTCACGTTTTCCGGGCAAGGGACCTTGGGAAGAACACCAAGGTACTGGATACATTGTTTTTACCAGTCCAGAGCTCAAGGGTCGTTTCATCCCAGCACGGGGTGCATTCCAGCTGCCATTCTGGTGACACAGAGGTGTGGTCCCCTGATCGATCCGGAGGCCTTTAGAGGGTTACATCAGACCGTTTTGAATGTCATAAACGGACGCTAAAGGGACTGTAGCAGACATGTAGAAGAAACAAGGCTATATAGGAAGACAGAACGGAGCATTTGGAACTAGAGAAACCTTGGGTTTGTCCCTAAATATATTCGTTCACCGTACATGATGGGATAATATGTTATCATTTACCAGATGAAGTAATCATGTTCAGTGCTGTTTGAGGAAGATGGCTGGTAACCGGGTGAATCGGCATGCATGATTAAGATGGTACAAAAGTAAGCTAAACGCAAACTAAATCTGAAAAGTGGGGGAGGGGTAACACTGCCGCCCTTCTGCCACCCACCTTGAAAAGTGGGAGCAAGGCCGCCTGGCTCCCTGTTCGTACACCCATGGCTGAATAGTGGAAATATTAGTATACTGTTGTTCATGTATGCAACGAACGACATTGCAACAGTACAAGGCATACAGCGCTGTCATTGCTATCATCAGGAAGCTGTCCACCATACGCATAGATATGTCGAAGTCAAACTTTGCAGAAATATTGCAGCATTGGGAGAAAACTGCTACGCTTACAATACGATATGTGTTGGGTCAATCAGGGCAAAATGCATTTTCTCACCTTCGGTGTCTGTCTCGTTATGGAGCCATAACGTGCAAAAAAGCAGTATCATTAACAGGCCTGGTAGTGGTATTGTTTTCAAACCAATTTTATGCATGCATTTGTTCGCTTTCGTTTCGTGAAATAAGTGTTGATCCCAATGACGGCATGATTGTTAGTTGTCAAATCGTGATGCCTTTCTGGTGTGGGGAAAGATGCAGCAATCTTGTCAATCTTCTCTCTTTAGCTTTTCCTTCTCTCTCTCTCTCTCTCTCTCTCTCTCTCTCTCTCTCTCTCTCTCTCTCTCTCTCTCTCTCTCTCTCTCTCTCTCTCTCTCTCTCTCTCTCTCTCTCTCTCTCTCTCTCTCTCTCTCTCTCTCTCTCTCTCTCTCTCTCTCTCTCTCTCTCTCTCTCTCTCTCTCTCTCTCTCTCTCTCTCTCTCTCTCTCTCTCTCTCTCTCTCTCTCTCTCTCTCTCTCTCTCTCTCTCTCTCTCTCTCTCTCTCTCCTCTCTCTCTCTCTCTCTCTCTCTCTCTCGCTCTCGCTCTCGCTCTCGCTCTCGCTCTCGCTCTCGCTCTCGCTCTCGCTCTCGCTCTCGCTCTCGCTCTCGCTCTCGCTCTCGCTCTCGCTCTCGCTCTCGCTCTCGCTCTCGCTCTCGCTCTCGCTCTCGCTCTCTCATTCTCTCATTCTCTCAATGAAGCAACCGTGCTTGCGCTTATATTTTGCTTCACAATAAAGATGCATGAGCCAAGTTTCGATGCGCTAATGTTAAATGTAGTTTCACTATGCCTTATGGGCTTTTTAAAACGGCCGATATGACAACGCAAAAGCTTCCAAAGCACTGCCCTTCGCATCAACTCAAAGCGTTGTTCTTCGCTGTTGAGGCCTGCAAATTTATGAGAGTGGGCAGGTCAGCAATGAACGCATCAGCTGTGGGACTGTATCGTGGCTATGCCATTTTTGCTTGGCTAACGCAACGAAATGGCTGGTTTTCTGCGTGAGCCACGGCATGCAGTCTTACTAACGTCAGTTTGTTTTTCAGGGCCAGCAACTGGGCAGACGACCATCGCGCCATCTGTCCATTTCCCGGAAAAGGTAATGCATTGGCATTGAATCGTTTACGCCTAATTCACAAATTTCATGCGCGATGCTTAGCCTTGGTAACACTTGCTGTTGGTTTCTTAAAAATAAGCTTTGTGCCACTAAATGCATGGTGCTAAAGTTTCTAGAGCTAATTTTACAGCAGCTTCATGCAATTTCAGGAACTTCAGAAAGATCACATCTTTGATAGACGCTGAGTTATTAACCTCTTACTTCCGAGATTATATTGATCGCATTTTGTGACCAGCTGTCCGGTGACCTGTATGTTTGCCTCCATATTCATTCTAAGGGATTCCACGATGTTGTTTGTTGAATCTTATGCTTTTTGCTCTTCAGAGTCAAGTTAGAGTCAATATGCCAAGTGAGCTTTTCAGTAAGCATATTTTATTTCTGCGACGTTATTTGACAGATGGGTCACATAAGTCGACATTTGAATGTTAGAGAGCTGGCGCTAAATGTTGGACCAGCTCCGCCAGATAAACTCATGAACCGAGCATATTCAAACGCATCAACTGCCATACTCGTATGCGTTACCGAGAATGTCTGCTCCAACCGTCCATGTTTCGGTATCGTCTACAGCGTGATGATGATCACATGTGTTGTTTCCTCGACCGTCCACGCCGCAGAA